TTAAAAACATGAGTCATGATAAATGTAGGCCCTAAATATTGTTCTGTCAAATTGTAATGCGTCATTTCCTTCTATAGATTAATAAGAATAGCTAGACAAGAAATTAGCTACTTTGTGACCGGAAGGGTATTAATTCCCTGCGTGGGTGCATTTTCTTCTGTTTATGATATCAAAAGAACAATATATTATTTGCAGTTATAACTTTCATTAAAATTTACAATTATGTGAAGAACCCTTGTCCAACCGGCGGTTCACGAACCACAGTTGCTCCGAGACCACTAGTAACCGGGACAGCGAAACTATTCGTTAATTTGTTAACAGTTACTACGAGCTCGTTTATTCTTTTATCATTTTACTCCGAAAGATCTGAAAAGAAAATTTTAAATATTTTCTCGTCTTCTGCTTTTCGTACAAGTGGGACAAATGCTATTGACATTAAAACCCTACCTACATCATAAAGTGAAGTTTTACATCTACAAAATATGTCAGATGCAAGCTGTCGCAGGAGAAATTTAAATGTAATAAACTCCACAGAAATGTGTACATATTTCAATAAAATCTATATTTGAGCTTATACAATAGTAATTTGTTATCTCAGTGGAGCAGAGACCCTTAGGAGCTAACACTCGGCCATTTACTTCAAATACATCCTACCTTTTAAGAAACTCGAATGTTCATTGGCTTGTTTACAGGAGTTGGCAATGGTTAACTAATTTAATTCCAAGATAATTCTATTTTGTAGCAATGGAATGCCACAGAAGCTTATGTTTTGTTTTTATTTTCTCACATTAAGTAAATTCCTCCATCTTTAAGACAGCAGGACAGAGCACATGCTTTGTTAATAGTTGACCACTACAAAAAAATCCAAAGAAAATTTATTGGTAAAGAAACATTTAATTTTATGTGGAATTTATAAACAGGTTGTCTGTTCTTACTTAAGTTGTCTGTGACAAGAAGAGAAAGACCTAAAAGTCGCACAAATATGCAGACGACTGTCTTAACTATTCAAACGGAATCCGAGCGGACTGCATTCTCCAGCTGATTTGAGGAAAACCTAGTACGGAATGGGCCTGTTAGCGGTCCATTTCCACAAAGACGTATTGTCATCCTATC